AAGCCATGTTATTCTATTGAACCTGAACTATCTCACAGAAAACCAACCTCAGACAAGGTTATTTTGAGACTACAATAAAATGAGACAAAACAAGCCTACTTCATAATTTTGTCTAAGCACAGACAAAAATAAGGTCACTGTGCCACCCACAGAATACCAAACACCCCTTCTCTCAGCCAAAATGGGTGACTGCTTCTCCTTTACCAATTATAGCTTATCTTTAGCTAGTCTTCCCTCTATAATAGATAGGATTTATAGACATACTAAATCATAGAATTGCCCCCGCTTTCTGATCGCATCCAATCTAGAGTGCCATCCTGGTTCTGCAGACCCTCCCCCAAATCAATCGCCAAACCAAAGCCCAAATCCTACAAAAAGTTTTTTCTAGCACCTTCTGATTGAGACACGCCATAGTTTCCCACGGTGTGTGTTCTGCGTTGCTGCAATGAGTGATAAACCTAACTTGTTTAGCTTGCAGGGCTGCTCCTGGTGGTCTTTAGCTGAAGGCCACTGACCAAGTAAACGCTAAGGGCAAAAAAAAAGTATGACCCTAACTCTAAGTGCAATCTGAATCCCAGCTTGGTGAAGGCTGTATCAGGTTTAGAACGGCCTGAAAGAGGATGGGCCTTGCGTATTGATACCCACTAGCACTTACTGAGGCTGACTATGTGCCGGGCATTATCCTAAATGCTTTACAGGTGTGACTTCATCTCATTCTCACAACCACATTCTGGGGTGGACACTATTATTATCTCCATTTTATAGGTGAGGAAACAGAAGCACAGAGATTAAATAAGCTGCCCTGGGTCAAAGAGCAAGTAAGCGGTGGAGCCAGGAATCAGCCTGGACACCTGGATGCAGAGTCCATGCTTCACACAGTTTCCAAGGCAGACGGGAGCAGTGTGCGCGCGTGTTCCGGGAGAGGGAGAAAGGCATGAAGACGCAGAGGCAAGAATGAACTCCTCTACCTACAAGCATGTTGATTCTCCTAGGAAATTATATAAAAATCTACACAATCCCTTCCTCTCTTTCCCTTAGTGCTCGTGCCAGTTCCCTTAAAGCTGACCCCAGGGCAAGCAGGGTTGGGAACATTCCATTTTGAATGGTTTTGATTCTGCCACCTTGCATTTTAATGATATTTTTTAAAAAATGTTCCAACCTTCCTCTACTCATATCTTGTTTTTTTCATCTCCCCAAAACCTGGTATGTCACAGATGGGTGTGGCCAGGAGACATAAAATCCTCCTTCACCTAATTAACACCTACTCATCTTTCCATCTCCACATTCAAATGTCACTGCCTAGGGAGGCCTTCCCTAATTCCCTAGGGTAGGTGAAATCCTTTGTCAGAGGCTGGCAAAGCCCATCACTCTTGTCAGTACAGTTCGGTGTGTTCTCTCTGCTAGACTGTCAGTTCCATGAGAGCAGAGGCCACGTGTGACTTGCTCACTGCTTGGTACACCGAGAGAACTGAGTTGTGAACCTGAAGGGGAGTCGGGGTGGGAGGGAAAGTAATTAGTGGCAGAGTTTCAGGGAGAACCAGGTCAATTCTTTTTCCTTCCTACTCTAAGCCCCTGCTTCTTTCTTCTTAATGCATCATGATCCCTGCTACTGTGTGTTCTTGACCCAAACTCAGAAATCATCCTCAGTCAGGTCAGATGTTGCCTAGAGAATTCTAGCTGTGCTCAATCAGGTCTTTTTATTTTGACAAGAGTCTGATTGGTCTTTTACAAACTGCACCTTCTGAAAAGCAAACTTTATCCCTCTGGTGAGTTATCCAAGGTCACACTGAGTCAAACAGCAAAGCCAGAAATAAAAATCAGATCAGTTGACTCCCAAGTTGGTGCTTGATCTTCTTTTTAAAGGAATAAAATGGAGGAAATGGGCTTGAACACTGATTCTCTGATGGTGTTAATCAAATGTGGGCTTATAACGCCTGCAGCTTCCACATGTTATGTAGGAGACATTAAAGAATAATGAGCCCTTCAGGAAAAGGTATTTTTAAAAAAGGAACAGGAAAACACAAGAAGTGCAGTATAATTAATATTGCAAAAACGATTCGAATTCTGGATTGTGACTCTCCTTAAGGTGATTTACCACAATGAAGTCAGCAGAAGCCATGGAGTCAGAATCAGCTAACTGTCCAACCTCTTGGTAGAGGGTACAGCAAAGCTAAGAAGCTGCAGAAAGCACAGATGTCTTTGGCATAAAACCATTGTTCCAATCTCATGAGAAGCCATTTAAAAATGAGTACGACCAGTGCTAAATTCTTGGATACATAGCCACACAGAGAGAGAGAGAGAGTTCAAACAAAAGCCAAGTTCTTAGCCTGCAGTGCTGAAAAATGAAGGCCAACTAAAGCTGAGAAAATGGATTATATAATCATAGAGCTAGAGACTTAGATCAGTTATAGCAAGGAATTTACTGTTTGGGTCTTAGAAAAAACAAGGCATCTTTTTACCTGGGGTGGATCAAGCACAGTTCAGTACACGAAGGGCACAGGAGGAACGAGAGAGAGTACATGAGCTCCCAAAAACTTAGTCTTAAATAATGCAAGGTGGAGACGAGACAAAACATAAAAGCAAATTTATGGTATACACAGACAACCAAGAACTGCTACAGAAAGTTTTAATCACCACATGTAAAAACAATATGTTCATAATATCAAAAATGGATCCAAATTCTCTATCATCATCATCAACAGTGTAGAAATGAAATGATCAACCCCCCACTGCTAAATCTGACTGGTTTAAAACAAAAAAAAAAAAAAAAGGAATTGTTCAAACCTTTCTTTTTCTTACTTGAGTTTTTTTTGACTTTTTTTTTTAGGCCCTTTTTTTTTTTTTTACCCTGTGGCTGGTATCATCAAAGTGAAAAAGAAAAGTCACTATCAGCTGGAATTTATTCAATACAGAGTTTGAAAGACGATTTATCATTGTTCTGGAGTGATTTCTGTTCATTCTCCCCACCCACACCATGTGACGACAGCAGGAGAGGATGGCAAACGGTGGGGCCAGTCCTGTTATATACTGGCCATGTGGTTCTCAACTGAATCCACTGACCAAAACAAAGAAATAAAATCTTAACATCCACTAACTCTACACTATCATATTTTAAAACATGTATTAAAATCAGTTCTTTCTTATAAAAGGGGAGTTGGCAGTACATGCTCAGACAAAAATATTAATAACAGTACAGTGCTTTCTTTATTGACTACTGCACCACACTCTACATATTTCATGTAAACCAACTGGGTAAGTTCAGAGTTTGCCTTGAGATAAGATCTGCACATATCTAAAAGAAAATAACAATAACTCCCAAATGCTACAACAGTTATTCAAGTGCTGAGAGAGGTATGTGTGTTAAACTGGAAAAAAAGCCATTTGAAGGGGGAACTATTTTAACATTTTTTTGTATGTCAATAACAAACAACAAAAAAATTTTCAAAATCTGAATTCCTAATGTCTCTAACATTGTTTCTAGAGCCATAGTGTGCCATCTCTCGCAAGGCAGCCTAGTGACACTGACTCCAACTATTTCCATCATGATCTCTGCATGTTTTTAAAATGTGCTCTTTCTTACTTTTCACTGCCCAATTACATATATGCTAGGCTATAATGGAAATCTGAGGATTTATGGCACTTGAAGAATTATCATCCTTAATCCTATTCTATACTCTACTTTCGATTATTTCTAGATGCCTTCCCAATTCAAATTACTTAAGTGAACAATATAGGCATGGACACTTACTGGAATTTTTTTTGAGAAGTTAAATTGTGTTCACTAATTCTCAACCAAAATTGGGTGAAGATAATGGGGAGAGAATCCATATTAGAAAGAGTTAGAAAAAGGTTTTCTGGAAAGGCTTGGTACACATGCTCTCTTTCGCAGGTAGAATCATGGAAAAATCAATGCTGGAAATCAATACACATCTTAACAATCCCATGGGCAACTCCCCATCTGGTACCTGAACTCCTGCGCAACATGCCTGCCAAGTTGTTGTCTTGCCTCTACTAGAATACCTTTAGGGGCAGGAAGCTGTTCCAATACTACTTATTCTTCCTTAGAATAGCAAAACAGATTGAACAGGTAAACAAACTTCCATTAAACATGATTACAAATAATATATAACTTTTCAAAACAGTAGATTGTCAATAGCAACTCCAAAGGATAAATCAAATCTGTCCCAAGCATTGCATGCTTCCTGTAATGATCCAAAATGCAGAGATACAACTTTGAAATGTGAATTTTAGAAATCATTGTTCAATAGCTGTGTGTGTGGTAGGGGAGCAAGTAAAAACAATTTAGAAGTGATCATTGTAGGGATTCCAAAACAAAGGAAAAATAAATGTTTTGAATAATAAAATAAAACTTTCACTTTGAAGATGCAATCAACACCTTGCACAGCAAGCCTTTGTGTAAGAATTCAAGAGCCCTGGTGGATGAAATGTAGGCTAATTACAGACTGAAGCAATTGTCAACTCAGATGCAGGAGACAGAGAATGACATGACCAAGTCTGAGGCTGCGGCCTGCTACGCCCAAGGCAACTGGAAGTAGGGCACTCTACCTTGATTTTTTTCCTTCTGGCTTATTTGACAGCACCGAAATAATTCTTGTTTGTGATTTCTCTCAAGGTGCTCAGACTATTTCAGGGTTTTAAATCTTCCCCTGAGAAGACCATCAAAGCAACATGTTGACTAGTAGATAATACTACCAGAATTTAATTTATAAAGGACCAACTCCTCTAAAAGGACACACTATGTTTATATTTTCATTTTTTGAACATATATATTAATAAGTCTATTTGAACTAAAATCATTTATCCTGAAAACACACACGTAAACTTCAAGGATTTTGAACGACCACATTAGTTGAGACTCAGCCGATTCCATGTTGAATGCTATTTTTCACCCTGACGTGATAAAGTGGCAATGGCATCAATTTTTAACAAACAAGACTATGAGAAAAGGGCAAAAACAAAACAATGAAAAACCAACCTTAAAATCAGTATGTCTTTTTATATGGAGGCCATTTTTTCTTTCTTATGTTTCAAAGTATCAGATAATTAACACAGTAGCTAGATGATGGGAGAGCAAATCTTCCTGCAAAAAAGAATAAAACTTCCTTGACCACTGAGATTTGGAAGGAAAATCAATGAAAGTCTATCAAGTACTCAGGGTAGATTTGGTTGGCATCAAACACCACAAAGATCTTTGGATTCCAGGTATCATCCACACAGCTGTCATACAAATTCACATAGCTCCCGTCTTTGGAAGGAGGTCGCATGTATTTGGAGTCTCCGTTTATGTAATCTCCAATTAGCACTCGAGCAAGAAACATAGATTTATATGTTCTACATAGATGCCGCTGTTGCAAGCTGACACCATGAATTTGGAATGTGTTTCCATGCTTTATGTCATCTTTGCAGAAGCGACTGGAGTAAGCGGCATCTCTAGCAAAATAGGTTCCTTAAACAAAAAGGACCAAAAAAGCCAAGATTACTTCTAAGAATATGTTAAAAACAAGCAAAAACATTCTAATTGTCAGGAGAACAGATGCATGGAATTGTATAATAAAAATAGATGTGGAATCTCCTCATCTACAGATCTTAAGGAAAGAACAGAAATCCCTCTGTCACGACGGCTGTGGTGCAGACTGCCTGGGGAACGGGTGTGCTGGTATAGACCAGTCCTCACACTGTCCCCTGCCTGTGCCAAAACGCAGCTACCAGACTTCTGTTTTCAAAAGAAATTTTACAAAGAAACCCAATAAATAAAACAGTTAAAATGGCTCCATGATTAGAAGTGTGGCAGGACCTGAGTTTTTACTGCCTGGCCCTCCTTCCCATTTCTATGTCCTTCCACCACTTCCTCCCCCCAAGCCCTTGGCCAGCATCCAGCAAACCTCTGAAGAGCAGAGTGCAAACTACTGGTCTGCAGAGATTCTCTCAAAGCCCCCCAAACCATATTTCTATGATACAGGGTAACAATTCAATAATACTTCTGGAAATAACAGAACCTCATATCCAGGAAAAGACTTCTGAGAGAGTGCAATGCTATTCATATCTAAGCATTCCAGAACAATGTCACTGGCTGACTGCCTGCATATGAAAACTCAATACAGCAACCAACTCCTCTGAGACGGTAGACATGAGAGATTGACATCATTAAGGGAACACTTACTCTAAAAAATTTTGGAAATGAATAGCAGAGTCTCATATTCATGCAGTATTGATGGGATTTATGTACACTTTCTGACCTTTACAGTTACGTAAGTGGAATGGCCTTTGCAGTAGTTATTTTAAAAATTAATTTACTTTTTCAAAATGCAGCATATCCCGATCTTAAGTGGTATTCAATTCTCTTGCTGGAGGTAAGGTATAAAGTAAGGACCAGAAAAATAAATGTCCATCCCTTACCTTTTCCCCTCACCTCTCTCCTTACTTTTCTTGAGTAGTGGGCATAAATAGAATTTAGACTTTCACAACCTTAGAAATAAAGTGAGGTTTTCCCCTCACTGTTCCTTATTGCTCATTAATATTCTTAACTATCATTTTCTAAAAAACAAAGCAAAACAAAAACACTAGTACCTATACCACAATGTGTTATAATTTATTTTACCATTCTCTATATATTTGCCATAAAGCAGTTTAGTGTAGGCTTATACATGGAAAGGACTCACACATGAAAATTAAATATAATGCAAAAATCAGCTAATATGGACATGATACCCCATCTGGATGACTGAGATTTGGGTAGCTATTTAATCTGGTAGAAGCATAAGAGTCTTAATTCCATCTTGTAGATGTAAGAAATAACTTTTCTGTGGCTCAGAAACTATTGGGGTGTGCCTGGAACCTAACATAATAACTTTAAACCTAATGATTACCAAACCCCTGAATTATAAAACAATCAATTTTCTCTAAAGAGAGGAAATTCCTTCTTAGGACTCAAACTGAACCTGGAATTCTGATAATTACCTTTTCCAAAGACAGCACCATGTATACCATTTATTCTCCAATCAAAGTTATGAATGCAAATTGCGTCCACAAATTCATTGCTGGTACCATGAAATAGCATTTGTTCATTAATCTGAGGCACACCTCTTTTTTTCTTGAGTTGAGCCTTTTTCCTAAAAACATAATACACATAGACACAAAAGCACACACAGAAATGTACCGTAAGTGGCATTTATTAATCTTAATGAGCAAAGTTCAATAGAA